TTTTAAAATCCTTATTCACAAATCAGTATAGTATGGTGAGTGTGAATACCACATGTATGATAAAACATTATGAAAAGCTTCCTATTTACAATGAAGGTATTCTTTTATATAACTGAATCATCTGATATGCTGCCTCCTGCAATCACTTAATGGACCCAACTGTACCCTTTGAATGGGCCAACTTTATGATTTTCCTAGGAAGTTTTGAGTTGAGGATAGTTTCTTGCTGCTGCTTTCCATGATCCAAGGCTTAGGACGAAATTCATGGAAACAAGCAATTGGAACCTGATCTCTCCAGGATCGAGAGACAGTAATGAATAAAAGGACATCTTGTCACTTTTTAAAGGCTCCCAATTGCTATGCTTTGCAGGCTATGGAGGAGAGAGGTACACAGTCGAGGAGGAAAGAATCAGTCCCCAGAAGTATACTGAACATTTCTAAACTGTCAATATCAAGAATTAATTTCTAAAACACAAGTTTATAAACAGAAGCCATCCAACTAGCTGTTAACTGAAACGCATATGCAATACAGTCAAGGAAATACTGTGCTTACAAAACCACATCTTATTTATCTCTGATTTTAAAATCATCCTTCCCCTTATGGGTGTGCAAGTGAGCAGTGGAGAAAGTGTGTATCGTCTGAAGGACCAGCTGGTGCCAGGCATTTCACCACTTCCAGAAGCCGCGGGCTGGAGAACTTTATTAGGCACCGGAGGGGTTCTTTTCTCTCAGCCAAGATGTCTCCAATTCTTTTTTATTTTAAAAATTTTTTAAAGTTTATTTGTTTTGAAAGAGAGAGAGAGATAACATGAGCAGGGGAGGGGCAGAGATGGAGAGAGAGAATCCCAAGCAAGCTCTGTGCTCCTCACTGACCCCAACACAGAGCCTCATCTCAAGACTGTGAGATCGTGACCTGAGCCGAAATCGGGAGTCGGAGTCTTAACCGACTGAGCCACCCGGGTGCTGCCAGATGTCTCCGTTTACGTCACTTTGGACTTTGTTTCAAGCTTATGTTGTGCAAATTCTTGTCTCGGTCGAGGATAGTCTCCCAAAGTGTCTCTTTTTCTAGTCTGTTGTCATGAATGATCCTTGAATCCATGTGTATCTCCAGCTCAAGGATTCTTGCTTGTAGGGGTGTAGTTGAGTTGTGAGTTTCAAAGGTCTGATTACACTGTTTGAAAACAGTAGTAGCCTTCAGAGAACCCGGATACCGGCCTCTGAGGTCCATTTTCAGAGCCGTGTGGTGATCGCCAGCACCTGTCCGTGCCTGGCCCAGAAGGGTTCTATTGTTCTTCAGCTGGAAGGAGGAGGGTAAGGCGCAGGGGGTCTGGGAAGAGTTTACCACATAGGCAGGTATGAACTTTTCCTGGCTCCCCAGGCATTTCGGATCCGTACCGCATTCTCCACAGCTTCTCTGAAGCGGACCGTCACATTTTCCAACGCTGTCTGAAGAATCGTCCCATGTTGGTTCCGAACCAAAAAGGTCAGTGCCTTCACCCGGTCCTTTCCTCATCCGAAAAACATCTCAAACTTTCTGGCGCTCACAGGAGAGTATAAGCGGCGTCTAACGGGGCCGCGTCGTGGGCACTTGCACGCTTCTCCTCACGGAGCAGAAGCAAGGCCCGAACAACAGATTCCTTTCTCTGCTGGAAGTCTACGGTCTGTTGAGTTTCAGACAAAAAGATTCCCAGGTTGGAAGAGCGTCATCATTTCGGTCATCGGGATCATCGAGACGGTCCTCACGATAAACTGGGCAACAGTTCCATCCGTCTCTGTGGCGCGGCTGTCCTCGCCGGCAGTCATCTCTCGTCCTGCTGCTCTTCAAATTCTCTTTCTCTGTAATCTTTGGCATTTTAATGATCATGTGTCGTAGTGTGGACTTCCTTGGGTTCATCTTGTTTGAAACTCTCTGTTTCTTGAACCCCCGCGTCTGTTTGCTTCCCTTGGTTAGGGAAGTTTCCAGCTGGTATGTCTTCAGATGATGATTCTGCCCCTTTCCCTCTCTCTCCTCCTTCTGGGTTTCCTATAATGTGAATGTTTGCTCGCTTTACATTGTCCAAGAGATCCCTTAACCTGTCGTCATTTCCATTTTTTTTTTCTTTTTGTTCAGCTTTGCTGTTCTTTTTGCTGTTCCGTGGCCCCGTCTTCCAGATCGTTGGTCTGTTCTGCATTTTCTAATCTGTTGATTCTCTCTAATGTATTTTTCATTTCAGTTACTAACTTCTTCAATCCTGACTGGTGTTTCTTATGTTTTCTGTCACTTCGTTGAAGTTCTCACTGAGCGCGTCCAGTCTTCTCTCCATCCCGGCGAGCATTTTTGTGAACGTTACTTTGAATTCTTTGGGAGATTGTTTCTATCTGCATTTCATTCATTTCTTTTTTTCTGAGGTTTTGTCTTATTCTTTGGAGCATATTTTTCTGTCCATTTTGCTTTTCTTTCTGTGTTCGTTTCTGTGCGTTAGGTGGAACAGCTACTTTTCCTCAATTTTGAAAAAATTTTTTTAGAGAGAGAGTGTGCGCACAAGCAGGGGAGGGGCAGAGAGAGGGAGAGAGAGAATCCCAAGCGGGCTCCGCGCTCTCAGCGCACGGCCGGACCCATGGGGCTCGAACTCACGCGTCATGAGAGCGTGACCTGAGCCGAAATCAGGAGTCTGACCGTTCACTGACTGAGCCACCCAGGTGCCCCTGCTTCTCCTAACCTTGGAGGAATGGTCTTGCGTACGGTGGCCCCCGGGTGGACTGTGCCCGGTGACCTTGGCTGGCTGGCGGGAGCTGTCGCTGTCGTAGGCTGGGGGTCCCGGAGCACTCCGTTCTGGGGCTAACCCGGTGATGCGGCTCGAGCTGAGGCGGGCATCGGCCGGGGCTCCCGGGGGGTGCGGGGCGGGGGTGGGTTCCGCAGACGGGACTCCAGGTGAGTCCTCTGTGGTCCAAGTGGCCCGGGACTGGAGCGTCGCAGTGCACTCTGCACCCGTGTCGCCTTGGTGAGCCGCTCGGAGCTGTAGTGAGTGCTGCGCGGGGCTGTTCGGCGTGCGCCTCGGGTGGCCTCTTGCTGGGACAGCTGGGGCCGGTGGGGGCCAGGAGGAGCCTGTGACTCCCTCAGGCGACGGGTCAGTGAGGGCACCCAGCCCCTGCTCCCGTCGGCACTAACGCGGGGGACGTGGACCGTCAGTCGCGGCCCTCGACAGCCTCTCTGCCCCGGCCGCCACTGCGTGGGGTTCCAGGCCTGCTTCCTTTATATTTTCATTGCCCTTTTCAACTGTGGCTTTTTTTTTTTCTGTGCTTCACAGCAGACGAATCTGCTCATGGTCCCTCGGTAGTGTCCCCACTGCAGCTCCTGGTGTCGGGCTGGGGTTCCCTTCACTACCGTGCCTCTCTCTCTCCCTCTTGCTGTTCTCTGTCTTTTGTGAAGCTGCTCAGTCGGCCCTCGGTTCGGCTCCAGGAGGAATTGCTCTATAAATAGCTGTAGATGTGATGCGTCAGCGCCGGAGGTGCGTTCAGGTTCTTCCTGCGTCGCTGTGTTGGACTGGAGATCTTAAAGAGCTATTTTTAACCTCCTGAAACGTTCTAGGGAGAGGAATATTCAAGCAGTTCTTAAAATGTGTCATAGACGATAAAACAAATAGAAGAGTGAACTTTGCACGCAGGTTGTATCGCTGGCTTACCGCACGATTTCTAAATGGAAAGCTGCTGTTAATTATGGAGTTTTCTTTTTTCTTTTTTAAAAGATTTTTTTTAATGTTTATTTTTGAGAGAGAGAGAGAGAGAGAGAGAGAGAGTGAGCAGGGGAGGGACAGAGAGAGAGAGGGAGACACACAATCCGAAGTGGGCTCCAGGCTCCAAGCTGTCAGCACAGAGCCCGACACGGGGCTCAAACTCACAAACTGTGAGGTCGTGACCTGAGCCGAAGTCAGACACTCAACCTTCCGAGCCATCCAGGTGCCCCTATGGAGTTTTCTTAAAGACCCAGAAAAGCCAATGACCTATTAAATGAGCTCACAGAGTCAACATCAAGGCACAACATTTGGGAAAATGATCTTTGTTGACATTTCAACGTTTTTCAATAGAGAAGACTAGTAATTAGGGCAAAGTATAGTCTTTGGAATAAGACCCAAATAATGGTAATGACTAGAACTTCCTTATAATTTCAGGTGAAAGCCAGTTTTAATTCCACCTCTTTCAGAAGAGGAATGACCGTGACCGTAGTCTGGTTGGTCATAAGCAGATGACAGAAAACTGCCTGCTACTCCCCTTTTGAACAGGATAGAATACGCTTTCTGATTTGGATCATTTTTTCTTTAGGTTTATTTATTTATTCTGAGAAAGAGCACGAGCGGGGGAAGAGCAGAGACAGAATCCCAAGCAGGCTCCACGCGAACAGCATGGAACCCGATGCGGGGCTCGAGCCCACAAACCGCAAGATCACGGCCCAAGCTGATCGAGGGTCAGACACTTAACTGACTGAGCCACCCAGGCACCCCCGTGTTTCTGATTTGGAATAAAATGAAGGGACTCATTAATCGGAGCCCAACAAGCAGGCAAGGGACAGCATGGCTTTCTACTCTAACCCACAGCCTAGAAAATGGAAGGTGGCCTCGGGGACCCCTTTGCCCATTTCCTCCTGTCAAAGGTTCAACCTTAGTCTTCTACAAGGGAGGGGACAATATGCAGGGTCTTTGGTCCATCTTCCCTCTGGCTCAGACACTCAGGACCCCACGTGGTTGGCCCGGCCCTCACCACCCCCAGGCCCCACTGCATCTGAGGTCCTGTGAGCGTGTCCTGCGTCTGGACTGTTGAGTGAATGGGGGGTTGCGGTGACCGGGGACTTGCTTCCTGTTACTGGTCCAGAGCTCTGCCTGCCTCGCGTCGTTCGTGCTTTCACTCACTGATCAGGACAGCAGGTGTGCCCAAGTCAGCCTGAATTTGGTTGCAGTTGTGTTTCGGCATGGGATGGGGACAGCCTTTTACTGTCCTCTTTCACATATGCGGCGGTAAGAACCAGTTCACGAGAGACGGGTGACGAAAGTGACACCGAAAAGCTTGCCCAGGTTAGTCTGCAGGAAATTTCTGGGGAGGAACTAAAAGCAAAATGAGATTTAGTGGCAAGAAATGAGAAAAGCCGATTTTCTGTACTGTTCCCTCATCTCTGCCACCTGCGACCCCTCCAACAGACGTTTCTCTGAGAGCTTTTAATTCCAAAAGGTACCTCTGCTGTGCTCCCACTTCTTACCGGTGACCGCCATTGGGTCACTCACAACCGCGACAATACTTCCGCTTGTATAAGGCTTTCCGCTCCACAAATTACTTTAAATACATTATCTGGTTCGATCCCTGGGAGGCGGGTGGGGCAGACGCCCCAACCCCACACTGAACGAAATTCTCTTTGTGGCGGGTGAACTCACGGTGCCGTCTGACCAGTGCTCACGCGAGAGTCCTCACAAACGAGAATGTTCCGTCGTTCCGTGCTGGGCCGTGCCAGCAGGGAGCGGAGTCTCGGATGTGGGCCCTGAAGACCTAACACACATCATGGATTTGTGTTTCTCTCATGCTGGGGAATGGGGAGCTCAGTGGATGTTGGAGCCTGACTTCCTCTCTCCCAGATTCATGCTGGGATTCTGGTTACACCTTTTGATTTGTCTGCGTCTCCTTTTCCCACCTTGCGAGGCCGACCTGCCCTGGTGCCATAGTAAGGTTTAATGCAGCTTCTCTGCCTATTGGGTGCTTGGGATTGCTTTCTGGCACGCTCCTAAGAAAATAAGTAACTTTGTTTCTTCTGGAAGAGTGGAGGAAGGATAAAGAACCGAGTTAAGTAAGCCCATTTCTACCCAGAGTCTGATCTCACCAGCAGGTGGCGCTGTGACAAAAGCAATCAAGAGAAACCAGGTCAGATCAGGTGGGTGTCCGGGCTCCAGAGACAGGCCCCGGCGACGCCCCCTCTTCTGTAGCGAATAAGGCGCTCATGTGAAATCCCAGAGCTTTCCAAGTGTGCTCGGATCCCCCTGGGGCGGGGCAAAGCCTGAGGAAGGCAAGGCGTTGGTAGAAGGGTCTGGATTGGTAGATCCTGAGCTGGTTTTGCTTCCTGTCTAGAACCCAGAGCTCTGCCTGGGCTTGGGCAGTCTAGTCCCTTGATGCCTGGGTCCCTTATTGGGCTAAGATGGGCGCATCCTTCCACGGCCTTGGTGGTTTTCAAAGAGCATGTGTACATGCAGCCAGACGCAGAATGAAGCATGGACATCCCCAAGACCAGGCTGGTCCACTGATCTGGACCCCAGTGAAAGAACAGACTGCCCATCACCGAGTCTACAGGTTGAGAAATACTATTTGCCCTGTCCTGTCACGGAACCAGCCAGGTCCCACACAAGGGCAGACCTGAAAAGGAAGACAGGTGTGCCTGGGAAGCTGGTCCACGTGAGACAGAATGACCACCAGCACCTTCCACACACGGTGCACAAGACGCAGGGTGGGGGTGAAGGGGGGCGCTATAGTCTCTAAATGGGGCCAGTAAGTCAGCTGGCAATACTGGGTTTCTTAGTGGATCCCACGGTGCCAACGTTGTTTCTGCTAGTGATGGAGAGTGAGGCAACCACTTCCTGACTTTCCCCGTTCACACGAAGGCCTATTAACCTGTTCCTGTGGGTCAAGGGGCCCCTGGGAGAATTGGAAATGAACTCGGCTTTGGGGGAGGAGTTTTCCAGGGATCTCTGCATAGCCTCTGTCCACCCCCCTCTCTTAATGTCCACCCTAGGTGATAATAACAGGAAGTAGAAAGGCTTGAAGACCAGCTCTTTGTATCATTAACCATAGGGCAGACTCCGGTAGCTCATTCAATGTAGGTTAACCTGCTGGGTGTTTTCCCTTCAAAAACAAACAGCACCAGTCAGAAGTATCTGATAGCCCTGAAGTCACATCCATTCATTCCAAACCCAAGCTGGCCGTGATCTTCTAGACCCACCTGGCTCCTGGGACAAAAGCAGATGGGCCCAATACTTGTAAATTTCATATTTATTATAACAAAAATTATGACATGTTCATTTGTGCATTCTGCTTTAATAGAACTCTCGGTATGTAAATGATCTAGCTGAAGGCTCTACAGTCATGCTGATTGTGGCAGCAGTAAGGGACACACCAAGTGTCTGCGGAGGGCAAGGGGGTGGGGACGGGAGAGGAAGAAAAACGGCTCAGAGGCCCCTGTGTGCAGGTTAGTTTCCAGTGGCCTGAGATCCACCTGGTTGGAACAGAAGCCCCTTAGCTGCTCTCAGCCTCCACACCGAATGAGCCGGAGGCAGGTTAGGAGGGGGGCGAGGAAGAGAAAAGTCAGTCGTTCAGGCTTGTCCTTTCGCCAAAACTACAAAACGTCTGAAGCGTCACTATACAGCACTGAGCTATTTACAATAGAAATTTCTCAATCAACTGTTCTCTCAGAGAAAATTAGTGAATCCCAGTGACTTAAGTCACCTGACAGAGTAAAGCAACTCCTAGGAGTTAGTCTCCATATTCTACAAATGTCTATCATTTTCAAAACAAAAAAAAAAAAA